TTGTAGCTTCCAAACTGCAGCTGTGTGTGGGGATCCAGGGCTGGGATCCAGGGCTGGGGGAGAAGGGGATCTCTGGAGGCTTCTCTTGTCCTCAGGATGCTGAATGCTGCACCTGGGATGGGTGGGAGGAGGAGAGGGAAGGGAAAAAGGAGCTGTGGGGGAGCTCTGTGAGCAAGAGCTGGGAGGGGGAGATGGAAGGGCTGCAAAGCCTGGCCAGAGGGGACAGGGGAAAAGCAGGATGGGGCAAAATGAGGAGAAGGGAGTGAGGAGAGTGAGGGGTGAGGAGGCACAGAGGATCTGGCAGAGGGCAGTGGCTTTAGGGAGCCCAACACCGGGATCTGGAGGGATCTGGAGGGATCTGGGAGAGGGGACAGTGCTTTCCTGGCTGGCTTTGATCCCACTTGGCTCTCAGCCATCGTCAGGACCTCACTGGTTCCTTGCCAAGACAACTCACTGCCAGATTCCTGCTGGATTCAGCACCTTCCCCAGGGATTCCCCAGCCTGGAGATCCCTCACGGAGATCCAGTGGCATTTTGCTTCTAAATGACGAAGTGAATTTTAAAGGTGAGCTGAAAACTGAACCCAATCTGGTTTGTTTTCCTCCCTGCTTTAGGAAGGCAGCGAGTTGTTCTCCACAGCCACGAGCAGTGACGGATAAAGGCAGCCAGGGATGCCTGGGTGACACGGGGATATGGAGGGGGATAAAGGGGGGCTGGCAAGAAACGCTGGCCGAGCCTTTCTGGGAACAGGTTGGACAAACATCTGCCAGGGAAGGTTGAAGCTGAGCGGATTTTGCTGGCGGCAGGTGTTGCTTCATCTGAGCGACCTCTCCGGCTCCCTCCGGCCTCCTGCTCGGTGATCCTGCTTTCCTTCCATCAGAAATGTCAGCTCAGCTCTTCCCTCCCTCTGCCAAAGCAGCTTTAGCAGCTCAGTCCTCATTTATCAGCTCAGTCCTCGTCATCTTTTCCAACATTTTCACCAGAGATACATTTGTTTATACGGATACAAGCAAGCAAAGATTAAGATTTAAAATGGGGGAAAAGAAATATAAATTTCCTCTATTTTTCTTGTGTTTTCCAGTTGTATCAGTCTCCCATGAAATCTTCCAGCACAAGGAATACCCCGAGGTGAGAATAACTCCGTCCTGAAGATCTGGCCTCAGGCAAAGAGTAGAATGATGAGGTAGAGGAGGGAGACAGGAGCGGATGCTGTTCTGTGGTTTTGGAGTCTTTTAAAGGCAGCTCAGGTGTCCTGGCCATTTTACCACGCCCTCAGGATCTAAATCCACATTTATTTTCCTTGTCCCATCCTTTGTGCTTTGTCTGCAGCCCAACCCAAATTATTCCACGATCTGCAGCCTCGGAACCACAGACCGGAATGTTTGGAAATACCTGGAGGATTTGGCTGTGAGGATTTTCTCAACCCTGCCAAGCTAAAGGAGAGGGGAAGGTGCAAAAGAGACTGCTGTTCCCTGGGTTTTCCTAGAGAAAAGGGCTCTGGGAAGGGACGAGGGCTGGAGACAGCGGGAACATCCCTGCCTGTCCCACCGGACCCGGCTCCCGGGCAGGGACCTCTCGCCTCAGCAATTCTTTTCAAACTCTGGCTCTTGCATTTCTTCAGAGAAATTCAGCACCTGGTTGATCCATTGTTCCTTCCAGCTGCTCTTTGCTGTCAGGGCGGGCATTGAGGAGGTGGAATTTATCCCAGAACGTGTCCCATTCTTTTCTTCCCTGGCCATTGACTCGGCCAACATCTGCTCCCGTTAACCCTCGCTGGCCCCACAGCTCTGGGGATCCTTTTTGACTCCAGAGCTCTTGGCATTGTGTCAGCAACAGCTGAGGTGTCCCGAGAGGAGAAAATCCTTCTTCTGCTGGGCTGGAATGGGATTTGTGCTCTAAAACCCACCCTGGATAGCTCAGCAATGAGCAAGGAGGTAAATCAAAGTGTTTTCTCCCTAAAAATCATTTCCCATACACTCACATGATGAAACCTGGTGGGTTCAGCTCCCCTTCCCTGCCAGGCTCTTGGGAATCACCCCAAACACTGCAAGATTAATTGCTTTTATTTGTTCTGCTGCGTTGTTTTCCTACTTTTGGGCACAAATTGCTTTTCAGCCGCTGCTCTGGCTTCATTGGAAGCAGCGTGGATACCTATGGATCCCATATGGCTCCTCTGGGAAACAGCCCCACGATAAAGACTGGAAATAGGCACGGAGCAGATGGGAGGGAAGGGGCACCGCTTTTAACAGCAAAATCCTCTCTGCCTTCGCACGGTAACAAGTGCTGGGATGTGGGAAGGAATATATTAGGAAGGACAAGAGGTGTTTTGAGATGCAGCTGCACTTTGCATGCGCTTCTGGTCCCCTTCCCACTACAGGGAGAGCAAGAGAGGCTTTTCCCTTTCATTTACGAGGATTTGGGGCTCCGGAAGGAGCCGGGAGGGAAGCGCCACAGGGAGGGAACGGTGACACTGCGGACAGAAGGAGTCAGAACGGCAGCTCCGCTCACACACAGGTGGGAACACCCCCAAAGCTCCTCCAGGAGCCCCCCGGGCTCGGGGAGACCCCTGCCCGCAGTGGGCTCTGCAGCCAAGCCCTGCAGAGGGGCCAGGATGGAGCCAGGATGGAGCCAGGATGGAGCCAGGATGGAGCCAGGATGGAGCCAGGCTCTGTCCAGGGCTGCTGGAGGAATTCTGGAGCAGCAGGGCCTGGTTCCTGCGCTCCCCAGCACCACAGCCGGGCTCCCAGCCCCCTGAAACGGCGACAACAAAAGGAAAGATGTTTGGTTTTTAAAGAAACGTTCATCTCCAGCTTTCCCAGCACTGAAGGCATCAAAAGCAGAGAAGAGAGGCAGCTCCTTTCAGCAGGGAAGGGCTGGCACGAGCGGCTCCCGGGGCACACCAGGGATCTTGGGGCTCCCGGTGGGTCCTGAGCAGGGCTGGAGAGCAGGATGGGGGATTTTAAAGGTAAAACACACACAGACATGAGGAATAAGGGCAGAAGAACGGCCACAGCGCCTCAGCCAAATCCTCACACAGCATTCTTTCCTACGAGAATCATCCTGTGGGGAGGCGAGGCAGCTCTAAAGCGAACACCTCTCGTGTTCCCACAGCCCTTTTCCCAGGGATCTGCGGCTCAGGGGCTTCCCCAGATGGAGACAGCCCTGCTTTCCACAGGCTTCTCCCATCGAATCCTGCTCCCAAACCCACACAGTCCCTCAGCACGGATGTTCTGTGCTTCTGAGGAGCTGAACCTTGGCAGTGCCTCTGTCCCTCGTTCCGTGCTTTTATCACATCGTGGGATGCCCCCTAATGCTCACAGTGCAGCATCCCTGCCTCCAGAACCTTCTCTCCATCTCCCCTGGCACATCCCTGCCTCCAGAACCTTCTCTCCATCTCCAGAACAATTCCCCTCAGCAGGGCAATCCCTGCTTCCATGATGAAATTCAAACTGTTACAAAAGGTTTGCTGGAGCAAATGG